CCCCCCCCCCCGGCCTTTCAAATCCCTGCCCAGGGGTCCTCGGCATTTGGTCCAGAGGTCAGGAACCCCCTCTCCTAACCTCTTTTGTGCTCACTCATAGAAACCTGGCTGTCCCTTGAGACACCACTCACAGGGCTGATAATTCACAGGGGATGTTTTATTGCCTCTTCCCAAAAGCCCTGTCTAAAACTCATCCAGTCTTCTCTTCCCTGACTCTCTCCTGCCCAGTCCCAACTTGGCATCCCCCCCATTCTTTGAGGAGGTAAGCACCGGCCCACCTCATTCTCCCAGGCCACCCTGCAGCCATCTTGGATTTCACAAGCAGTCAGACAGCCTTCCCAGTACCTGGCCTTGAACACCTTGCTCGGCGAGCACATCCCAGTCCCAGCTTGCTGGTTGTTAACTGCTGAAATCCTGTGTACCCAGGATTCAAGCAGCCCCACTAAGTGCAGGAAGAGGGCTGTACAGGCGTGGCTCCCGGCTGTGACAGATAGAGCAAGGAGCAGCTGGGACTGAGGCCCCATCTCCTCTCCCCACTCGCCAAGAATTGGTGGAGGGTTGAGCTCTGTGCCCCGGGCCTGGCAGCTCTCCAAGCCCTGGGCCCAGCGAGGGCCCCAGAAGAACAGAATCTTCCTACAGCCAGAGTGGCTGGGCCAGGCTGGGCACACACCATCACCCATGAGAGCACTACCTCTGAGGTTTCCGCTCTTCTCCTCCCCACCCCCACTCCACCACCCACAGGGGCATCCCTCCCGGCCTCCTAGGTCGCCCAGCAGGAGGGCTACCTGCTTGGAGAAGGCCTCCAACACGATGGCATGGGACAGGGTAGGAGAAAATTCTGTATTTACTGAGACAAAGTAAGTCTTACTCCAACAGAGACATGTTGGAAGCAGCTGGTATGGTTCCCTGCGTCAAATCGTGGTCCAGACAGGACCATCATTTAGCTAGAAAGAGCCTCACACCAATAGTTTCTAAAAACAACCAATGATTTGGGATTTATCAGAATAATGTGATGAATGCTTTGCGTATCATCCTTAACTTGGTAGGCAGCTTCCTAATACATACTTAACTACGTATAGAAAATAAAAGTGAACGCTTAGTTTTGTCTTTTATATTTATTGGTATGACCTTTCCGATTGCTAGAGACTTTGAATGTCATCCCTACCTCCACCCGACCCAAGCCACCCAGTTCATGGTCTCATCCTTGACCGTGACATGACCAATAGCCACGTCCCCTCAGTGATCTCAATCGCTGGCCCCCACTTTCTGACTCTCATGCCCCAGTCTTCCAACTTACTCCCAGGAGCCACCGGCTCTGGCAGTTCTTTGACCCCCACCCCACCCTAGGCTTCCAATGCATTGACCCTATCACCTCTTCACTGCCTCCTTCCCCAGCTTAGAGTCTGACCCATCTTCATAATCACTGCCTCCCCCACCCCTGCTCTTGGACTCATTCCACAGACCCCCACCCTGGTTAAAGGCAACCCTCCAGCCAGACTCAGCCACACCCTAGATGTAGCTGGGCCTCATCCCCTCTCACACTGCTCCTGCATTCCTCCCTCGTCTCTCCAGCTATCATGCCTTCCCTCTCTTCTGGAACATTCCCACCAGGATCACTCATGCCTTAACATCTCCCCCAACACAGAATGGACAGCAGAGCAGCAGACACCTCACCAGCACAGTACAGGGGGGTTGAGGGGGGTTGAGGGAAAGAGACAACAAACGATATGTTGGAGGCTGGGGCAGCCAGACCAGCATGTGCAAAGGTCCTGTGGTAGGAGGGAGCATGCGTGACAGAAGGCTGAGATGGCATGTGCACAGAGAGGGAAGTGGGCAGGAAATAAGGCCAGACGGAGGTGGGGATCAGGCCGCTTTAAGATGCTGAGCTTTCCTTACAGGACTGGGAAGCTATTGGGCATTTCAAGCTAGAAGTGGCTTGATCAGATTTGCATTTTCAAAGGATCGCTACGATTACTCTGTAGACAAGGATGAGAGTGAGTGCAAAATGACCAGTGGGGAGGCTGTCATGCAGAGAAGCCAGGATGGTGGCCTGGCTGTGGGTGTTGCTGCCAATGGAGAGAACTTGACAGTTTTGAGAGACACTGCGAGTGAATGCAGGCAGGACGTCCTAAGGGAAGGGACCTGCAGTCAGGAAGAAGAAATGTAGGCAGTGACAACTGGACTCAGGCTTGCATCGGCAGCGATGGAGAGGCATTCACTGAGCTGGTTGGTGCCTGCAAAAGACCAGGTTTGAGGGGAAATGATCATGAGTTCAGATAACGTGGGGCCCTTAGAAGACAGGGTGGAGGCACCACCCACAAGCCCTTAGTCTGGAATCGAGCAGTGTCCCCAGTTTGCTGTTGTTGTTGTTGTTGTTTAATGTTTATTTTAGTTTTGAGAGAGAGAGAGAGAGTGAGCAGGCCAGGGGCAGAGAGAGAGGGAGACACAGAATCCGAAGCAGGCTCCAGGTTCCGAGCCATCAGCACAGAGCCCGATGCGGGGCTTGAACTCATGAACCGTGAGATCATGACCTGAGCCAACGTCAGCCACTTAACCGACAGAGCCCCCCAGCCGCCCCGTGTCCCCAGTTTGTTAGGAGTCTCGGGGTCCACATCTCACCTCCTGCACGGATTGCTTACAAAGATGCCCGGCACCAGATTGGCACTGATGAGATATTTGCCAGCTTGAGTTGAAAGCAAATGAAAGCACTTTGCAAAGCACTTTTCAAATACACTGATTTGTAATTTTACCAATAGGGAGGAGATTTTATCCTCTTAGCAGCTAGACTCTTAGCAGTAGACTCTTCTCAGGTCCTAGAGGGAGTTGAGGCCTCCTGGGGATGCTTGAGGAGAGGGCGGAGAAGCAGGGTGTGTGGGCAAGAAGGGTTCTGCCCCAGGGGAGCATTTCAAGCGAAACGCTGTGCTCCTGAGTCCCCACAGAGCTTCAGTGAAGTTACCAGAAGTCTCCATATCCTCTGGGGAATCGTTTTTCTTGCAGAAGTCAGGAAAGGGGGTGAATATGGTACAGAGACAGTGATTGGGGCGATCAACCATCTTCTCTGCAATATGTCGCATAAAATAATAGCCTTAGAAATGCCTAAAACGCTTCCCTTTATAGAAGTACACCTGTATCGTATAGAAGCAGGTGTATATGATATATACACAGATCTATGTAAGAATGCCCTAAAGTTCCTAAATCATATCCGTAGTACATGATAAAACCTACTTTATGGGATATGAAGGTTCAGCACCCCATAGGAAAACAGATTGCTAACACGGACCGAGAACTGTATTAATTAGGTTATATTAGCTACTGTCACAGAAAAATCCCAAATGTCAGTGGCTGAATATAGTCAGCATCCAATTCTCCCTCACAGCGATGCCCCCAAGCACTTTTACCGACGTGCCAGGCACTCGCTCTGAGCACTTTATATGTGTCAGCTCATTTAATCCGCGAAGGAAGAACTCCTTTGATCTCCACCTCTCAGGTGAGGAATGCCAGGCTGGACCCAGGCCACAGGAGCTGCCAGCATGGGTTTGCCTATTTATTCATTCAGAGAAAGTTCGTCTGCTGGTGTGGTGGGGGGGGGGGGGGGGGGGGGGGGGGGGGGCCGGTACGACCGTGTGTGAAACTGACAGAGGTTTCTACTGTGGCGGAGCAGACCCGCTTGGCAAGCTCCAGCCCACAAATCAGTCCTTCACGAAGACCACATTCACTTCACAGTCATTGGTGGAGCCGGCTGGGACCTTGGGTTTTCATCTGAGCCTGTGTTCACCTTCTCGGCCATCTGCCAGAAAAGATTGAGTCAAAAGGCCTTCGTTGGAGCCCTGGATCTATCGTTTCCTGACCACAAGTACTTACTCGGATCACTTAGCCTCCCTGAGCCTCAGTTTCTTCATCTGTGCAATGGAAGAGATAATAGTCCTCTCACAGGCCTATGGTAGAGCCAGAATGAGTCGTAGTTCAAGAGCCTGGCAGTGGGGCTCAGCCCCCACTGGGGGCTCAACCCCTCCCCATCATCCCCCCCATCATCCTCCTCCCCTGCCCAGAGCAGCTAGGGGCTGGGCACAGTGGATTCCAGGCCCTGCAGATGGGAAGGCACTCTGCAAGCTCATTTAAGGGCTGTGAGAACGTTTGTCGGCATCCGTGTGGGGTCTGTCTTCTTTGCAAAGCGATCTGCTCTCTGGCATGCAAAATGCGAGGTGACTCCCAGCGGAGCTGGGGCACAGAGGCGGGTGTACTGACGGGTTCATCAGCCTCCTCCTCGGCAGTCCCCAGCCCCGAGCCAAACCTCTGCTGCCCGCCAAGCTTCAGCTAATCCTCAGAAGCCTCGATGCAGGGACGGAAGGCTGGGTTTTGAAGTCTTAGGCCTTAGATCCTTTCCATTGCACCGCGGGTGTGTGTGTTTTGATTCACCAGGCAGATGTCCAAACAGACAAAGTGATACCTTCCTTCAGGGGCCGGGGAGAGGGCTGAGCCAGCTTCAGAAGAGCCAGAAGTCAGCAAGAGGCCAGTGGGTGCTGAGCCCCTGGAAACTCTGATGTTTCACGTGTCCTTTCTCCTCTTGTTTTCCAGGGAACTTCAAAGGTCTCTGCAAGCAAATCGATCACTTCCCAGAGGATGCAGATTACGAAGCTGACACAGCAGAATATTTCCTCCGTGAGTGCATGCAATTTTTTCTCCCTTCTGGTGGTGGGTCCAGTTCTTCTAACCTCCAGAGCACCAAAGGCCAGGACTATCCAGAGATCCCTGTATCAGCAGAGGGCAGGAAAAAGCTGAGCCTCGCTCCTTTCCTCCTGTCTGGAGGCCAAACCTTCATGCATGCTGTTCCCTCTGCCTGTAACCCTCTTCCCTCCCCTTTGTCTGATAAACTCCTATTCATCCTCCAGGTCCCAGCCTGAAACATCACCTCCTCCAGGAAGTCCTCTGTGCCCCTAATGGGTTCCCAGAGCACAGCACATTTATCATGCTGTGGGGTCCTGATCTATTTGAGTAAACATCTCCCTGGCAGTCCCACCAATTATGTTAGGCCAGGGACCCACCCTATCTCGTTCACGTGTTCATATTCCCAGCCCAATGCCCTTCACATAATAAGCGCTCAGTAAATATTTCTTGACTAACTCAATGAAGAAACTCATCAGGCAGTTTCAGATTGGAACTTCGACCGAGAACAATACATGAGATTTTTTTTTTCTTCCCCCGCAATCAAGTCACGGTTAAATCCTGAGGTACATGCTGTGACCTTAAATCCACCTGAGGCATATTAACAAGAGAAAGCATTTTGAGTCCCAAAGAAAACTTCTCAAGAACCAACAAAAACTAACAAGGTAAAATGCTCCCTGAGAAAGGGATTTCCAGGAGAGGGGCTGAGGGTCCTTGACACCTGGGACAGCAAAGCCACCCAAGCAGAAGTGGGTGAAAGCTGTGCTCCACGCTCTCAAGAGGCTCTTCTAGAAGAGGTTTGCTCTCCACCAGGAGTGT